ATAAAGACGGGAGGGTACAGTGAGAGTCTCTTGCTTAGGCATCAACCCTACTACTGGCCAGTGGTTGCTGCCCTGGTCCCAGGACCACCGCATCCAGAAAACGGAAGTTGAGGTGATGTGGGAAACGGCTGTACAGTCGTATCAGCATCCCTCCCACGTGTACCCCAGATGCCACAGAAAAGCGGAGGAACCTCCCCGGTGGACCATCCACGGCCCCCTTCCTGTTGAGTGTGAGCACACACTCACAGAGGTGTGTAAGCCGGCCCTCCTCGCAGGAGTCACTGCCTGGTCCAGTGATCTCCCCAACTATTTCTCAGGGTGAGAGTGGGGTCCTCGATCCGAAGAAATGGGACTCCATGGTCCATATTGGTACAATACCTTCTATCCCAGTCCTTTTACAGTATTTTGTACAACTGCCTCTTCCACCAGGCATGCAAAACCTAACTCAGAGTGTCTACTACCACGGCGTGCGGCGGGGCGGGGGGGGGGGGAAGCAGCAACAGCCCCACCTGACGGCTGTGGGCATTACCCTCCCCTGGAGCAGCCTCCGTCCTTCCTGCACAGACTGTACGGCTGCCATTTTGTGCCTCAGGAGGAGTATATCTAGATTCAGCCCATCTCTGCATCGCTGTGGTACCCACACGTCCACCGAGTTCGTAGACCCACGAGGCCACCTCAAGGATGGCCACCTGCCCGTCCCAACCTCTCCCGATCCCCGAAGGGGGAGCTTCTCATGGGCAGCGAGCACGCCCTACACTGATGCACCCTTCAAACTCCCAGAGTGACTTCTACAGGGCTGTGCCCCATGCGGGTGGCCCCTTAACAGGCCAGGCTCCGCTGCCCGTCTGCCTGACCCTAGGGCCAGGCCATTGGCCACAACCCCTGAGTCATTAAAAGCCCAAACATAGAGGCAAGTAGCTCGCCTTCCAGGCCACTGAGCTGACTGCTTCCTTCCTCCTTCAGTAGAGCGGCAGCTCTCCAGACGGGATGCTGTGCGCTCGCTTCGTAACTGCCAGCCACAAACCAAGCAGCCCTTTGCTGGTCAGGAGAGCTGTTGACAGGGCGAACCAGGTGGCTGTAGAGTCCAGCGGCGCCTCAGGCGGCTCCAGAGTTAGTCCTGGGGGAGGTGCCCTCTCCTCCTCGTGTTCCGTCAGCACCCTTTCCTGTACGAACCATCTTCATCCACTACAGGACGCTCTTCGCACGCCCCTCTCTAGAGAGCATTTCTCTGACGTCACCCAAGACATTACGGGTCTTTCAGGTTCCAAGGTTATCTTAGGTCCTTCAGCCATCGGGGCAGTTTCAAGTAATGTTCAAAGCAGGCTAGGAATGATCTTTGCAATGGAAATTTTCCGGAATTCTCCAGTGGGAATCCCAGCGGTCACTGCCAGGCGGGATCCACAGGCTTCTGCCATAAGCCCCGGTCTGCACCCCACGCGGGTCACTGGACAGATAATCTCTCCGTACTTCGCCCCGGTGACATGAGCCAGCTGGGGGCTTCAGGCCATCTCGGTGACTACCCCTTGGCTGTCGAATCAACAGTAATAAAGCTGGGGGTGGCTTTACCTGCCTCCTGGTTTATAATACTAGGAAGGGGAGGCATTCTCCAGTCAGACACAACATCTGTCCCCATGAAACATTCAGGTAAAGGACACACAACCACTTCACAGAGTCTGCTGGAACATTTCAGTTTTCATCCAAACTTTCACCTTAGTCCCACCGACTCTTTCCTCCCTGTATCCTCCGAATCTAACTGCAGCTCTGGTAGCAGAGTGCACGGGCCCCCGTGTGTCAAGGATCTCCCAAAGCACCTCCTCCCCCCACCCCACCCCGAGCCTTCTGCCCCCTCACAGGCACACATCCTGGGCTCCCAGCTCGGCGCAGGGGAGGGGGATTGCCCAAGGGACCTGGGCTCTTAGCCAGTCTGTGCCCTGATTAGACTATGGGGCCGTCACCTCATGAAATTCTTGGTCAGCTGTCTCATTGTCATCTGTGCCTTCCGGCTTTTAGAATTCCTCCAAACCAAGGCGAACGAAGCAGATTTAAGGCCCTTCAATGTGGAGGAACCAGCAGAGGCTCCCATGGGTCCATCCAACTTCTGAGTGCTGCAGCAAGACCTTTCTTCTGATCCCATCAGCGTCTGCTTAACTTACCCAACAGTAACCGCTCACAGATTTGAACCCCACGGGGACCGGCTCCGACTTTCCCCTTTGTCTCTTCCCCATTATCTTGCAGATCTCAGCCATCTGTGCCTTTGGCTTAACTATCCCGTTTGGTGGCAGCCCTGAGTTAGCTCAGAGCAGCCTGAATCCAAGCGTGGCGCAGCCTCAAGATGCATCCTAACACCCCACTTTCACTTGGCTTATTGCAGAGAACAACCACGCAGGGACGGATACTCATTCGCTTGTTCTTTGTTACTCCGCGTTTTCTCACGCGCCCAGTGAGCTAACCACTCAGGGGCTGGAGCCATGGTGTGACTTTTACCTCCGATAACTAATGCAGCACAGCTCCAGTTCTACACCTTAGCTGAGCTGGGGTCCCCTAGGAACCACAGGTTCATCACCCCCCACCCCATCATCCCCCCTCTTCTTGAACCATATGTTTCCGTGAGTCAGGGTCACACGAGCAAATGTCACTTCTGACACCAACTGTGAAGCATCTGGGCCAACTGTGAGGTTGGAGGGAACGGTCTCCAAGACTATTCTTGCTTCAGATACCAACTGCAAGGTCAAAGGTCCCCAAGAGCACCCTCAGGTTTGATAATTCACTAGGAGGACTCAGAACTTTACCGAAAGCTGTTATCCTCACAGTTACAGTTCTGTTTTGTTTTCACAGGGAAAGGATACAGACTAAGATCAGCCAAGGGAAGAATGCAAAGGGCTGAGTCCAGAGATGAACCAAACACAGGGTTTCTGTTGTCCTCCATGGAGTCAGGACACATCACTTCCCTGCATCCACGTGTGACATTGTGCACGGAGTATTGCCAGCCTGGGGCGCTCGCCTGAAGCTCCGTGTTCAGAGTTTCTCTTGGGCTTCAGGGCCGTGTCTGTGGACATCCCAGCCCACACACCAAACCCCACCACTCCCTCTCCCCACACGGCCTCCCCTTGGTCCTAGAGGTGCACACGGCAGGCATCTTTTTTGTACTAAGTTTCAATAACCTGCCCTCAGGAAGACCCTGGGAGAGAGGCTCATCTCTGCGCTAGAAGTGGGCTTGGAGCAGACTAGGCAGGAAGTTCAGACATCCTAGGATGTGGGACATGGTGCAGGGTCTGGTGGATATGACCTCTTGGCTCTACAAATGTCTCCCATGGGGCAGGGCATGGCCCAAACTGGGAAGATCATTCCTGCAGTTGAATCAGATCCTGTTACTAGCGAATCTTACTGGCCCTTATCAAATTTTTAACCAGACTGCTTTCTTTCATCACCATAACTGTACTATTACCTCTGATTTCAGCTTTCAGGCACTAGATGATCCAAAAGCTACCTGTGGCTATCTTCATGGAACAGAAGCATGCTACAGCTACAAGTCTACCTGCAGAATCCTGGCTGCAGAAAGAAGCTCTGACCTTCCTTCCTTGCCAGGTTCTCAAGAAGCCTTAGAACAAGAGGCTAAGGGATTGGGAGGGCTCTCAAAAGGCCTGACCGCTGCAGATCACGTGCAGACATGTGTGTCTGGAGCTGCGGCCGGTGGGCCACGCAGCCAGTTTGCCAGAACCTCTACACTTCCCTCCTCTGCTTCAGGAAGTGACCAGCACCGTGCACAGTCTTACCGAGGACACACATCAACACGAGAGAACTCCAGGAACTCAGTGAACGGTCCTCAACAGTCGTCTGCCATTGGGCATGGTCTGGGCTGCCCAAAGGGGCCCTGGGGCAGAGGTCAGGAGTAACGGCTGTGCATGCAATCCCATAAATGTCTATGCCACCGCCCGAAATATTTACCGCAAACCGAGAAATCCATCAGATTGCCACTGTTGCTCTCACGCTGCCATTTAAATACGCTCCAGGCCCAACGTCTCAGAGCCTCCTCAACCAACTGCCCTCCAACTTCAGATTGTGTTTTTACTCCCTCATTTAACCTGTAGTATTTTTTAAAAATAATATTCCTAAGCATACCTCTTGTGAAACCCCTGGTCTCTAAGAGCCTCTAACACCTGCCAGTCCAGGAACACGCTCAGCAGATGGTAACAGCTGGTCCTCCAGGGCCACCAGGAACCTGGAAGCCCACCCAGCCCTGACAACTAACCGAACCCACGTCAACCTCACACTTATTCATCCCTAGTAGCGTTTAACCACAGATTTTGTCTGTATAAAACAACAGGGGCAACGACCAGGCGTTCACAATTGCCCACCTCTTACCAAACTTCAGTCCGTCCCGCCTCCACGGCCCCCAGGCTGAAGCAAGCACACAGGTGAACGCTGTACCTGTAACAGGCTGAGGGTCTGCTGACGACAGAACACTCTTCCGGCTGCAGCGAGCTGATTTCACATCTGCTTGTCCCACCCTCTCTCCCTCCCCGCCCACAAAGTTCACGCTAGCCCTGTTCACCCCTCCCTGCCAGAGAAAAGCCTGTTCTCTTTCATTCTGCATGCTTGTTGCACATTTCTGAGATCGGAGCACTCTCCCTACGGTAACGCTCTTTTCGATTAAAGTTGCTCCATCTCTAAGTCTGAATGTGTTTTACTTGACAGTAGGGTCCCAGCTCTGGCCACTGCCCCCAGGGGTGACCCGTCCATCAGCTGGGGTGCTGACACTCGGCCCTGCCGGGGGTGACAGCCCCCGCGGCTGCGCCCACTCTCCTCCTCCAGGGCTCCTCCCAGCTTTTCAGCCTGTCGCCATAATATGGCTGATGCGCGGCGGATTCCTGAGCCCCTCAGCAGCGGCTGCTGGAGGATCAGGGCGGGCAGCTGTTGGTCTGTCTGGGTCTCCTCGACTGTCTGACCACAACGCCGCCGTTCCAAGGACAGGAGAGGGAGAAGGGGGCCACCTTTACTGATACTTCGGATGCGGTTTTCTTTATTTCCAGTTTTGGGAGGTCATCAGCGATGAGCATGGGATCGACCCCACGGGCAGTTACCATGGAGACAGTGACCTGCAGCTGGAGAGAATCAACGTGTACTACAATGAAGCTGCCGGTGATTATTGGAAGCTTTCCTGCCCCCTCACCTTGCTTTCTGTTCTGCGGCAGACGCAATGTATCAGGAACATGCAAATGACAAGGAAAGGCTTCCTGCATGCATTTTTAACTGCTCAAAAACACACTTCAGAGCTCCTGAAGTCTCCTGCATGTTTGTCATGACGAGGCAGGCCATTATCTCCCTTTGTAGAGCAGAAACCGCCTCTAATCTCCTACTTTTGTCTCATGCTGGAAGTTTCCCTGCTGAATTCTGCCATAAAAGGCCCAGAGAGCAGGGCACTGTCTGTGATTCCTTTGCCGACCGCAGGTCTGAGTCCTGCTCTGTCCCCGCAGGTAACAAATACGTGCCTCGGGCCATCCTGGTGGATCTGGAGCCGGGCACCATGGACTCGGTCAGGTCTGGACCCTTCGGCCAGATCTTCCGGCCCGACAACTTCGTGTTCGGTATGTAGCGTGGTCCCCGGGCACTGGCTCGGGAGGCCCACGCCCTCCTAAGCCCCGTGGAGGTCACAGCTCACTGCTGAGTGCCCCGCTGGAGGCTGCGTGTCCACAGAGGCCCTGAGTCCTGGCCTAACTGCCCCCGGTCCACGGGCTGTCTCTCCTCTGGCCCCTCTCCGCACAGCTCAAAGGACGGGGTCCGCCTGCAGAGGGTCCGTCCCACAGCAGAGCAGCCTGGGGAGGGCAGAGAATAAAGAGCGAAGGGAAGCTTCCAACAGCAGCTCCCAGGTGACTGGTCATCTCAGAGGACCAGTGACAACAGGCAGGCATTTCCTGGAGCGAAGGCCAAAGGCACAGGTTAGGAGCGGCTGAGACAGCTGCTTGGGGCGGCCTCTTCTGATCACGTGTGCCTCCACCCTGCCTGTTCCTTGTAGCTGATTTAAGTATTTTAAATACTGAACGCAGGCCTGAGCAAACCGGCCGTGAACACGGGGCCCTTCCCCCAGAACCAGGCCCAGGTCCACCCAGTAATGAAACGTCCTTCCCCTACGATCCCAGCACTACTGGCAGAGCGGCAGAAAGAGCGACATGGTCTTTGCAGCCCCACAAAGAAGCAGGACAGCTTCACCTGAGTCGCCAGAATGAGGCGGCTGCCTGGAAGCTGACGCGGTCAGAGCAGCGCTGGTGACAGCTCTCAGCTGGGAGCCACCCAGCCAGTTTTGGGTCCAAAGTCCCCCCACCCGACCCCAGATTGTAAGGGACTCAGATTCCTGTTTCATGGGGGTCCAGGAAGAGACTGGGGATGCTTAGGTAGTGAAGAGAGCACCTGGGGCGCAGCATGAAAACTGCAGGACCTGAAAAGCACGGAGAAGACAGCGTCACCAGCTAAGGGCCCCGACCAGGACCCCGGGCTATGTGGCCTGTGTCGCTGGACGGGGAGGTACCTCCGAATGAGCACCTCCATAGCTGACTGTCCTTCCCAGGCCTCCTTCTGTGTGCCTTGCCTGTAACACCCCTCTGGAAGGAGACCAGTCAAGGACAGACTGGAGGCTAAATAGCCCAGCTTCCCTGACTCAGGGAGGCAACTCAGTGATGGGGTCTCTTACGGACCCCAGTACGGAATGCCGCTTCCTTCCTTCCTTCCTTTCCCCGCTCCGTCCCCACTGCCCTCCCAGGCTTCCTGGGATCAGCCCCCTAACAAACTTCCACTCAAATCCTTGTCTCAGGCCCAGAAATAAATCCAACCACCTACAGTCAATCTTCGACAAAGGAGGCAAGAACATACAACGGAGAAAAGCATCTCTTCAGCAAGTGGTGATGGGAAAACTGGACAGCCGTGTGTAAATCAATGAAGTTAGAACACACCCTCTCAACACACAGAACAATAAACTTGAAATGGCTTAAAGACTTAAACACAGACATGACACCATAAAACTCCTAGAAGAGACCATAGGCAAAACATTCTCTGACATAAATCATAGCAATACTTTCTTAGGTCAGTCTCCCAAGGCGACAGAAATAAAAGCAAAAATAAACAAATGGGACCTAATCAAACTTAAAAGCAAAGGGAACCATAAACAAAATGAAAACCTATAGACTGGGAAAAAATACATGCAAATAATGCAACCGACGAGGGGTTAATTCCAAAATACATAAACAGCTCATACAACTCAATATCAAAAAAGAACAAACAACTCAATCAAAAAATGAGAAGACCTAAACAGACATTTCTCCAAAGATATACAGGTGGCCAACAAACACATGAGAATATGCTCAACATCACCAATTATCAGAGAAATGCAAATCAAAACTACAATGAGGTATCACCTCCCACCAGTCAGAACGGCCATCATCAAAACGTCTGCAAATAATAAATGCTGGAGACGGTGTGGAGAAAAGGGAGCCCTCCTGCACTGTTGGTGGGGCTGTGAATTGGTGCAGCCACTGTGGAGAACAATATGGAGGTTCCTCAAAAAGCTAAAAATAGAGTTACCATATGGTCCCAGCAATTCAACCCCTGGGTGTATATCCGGAAAAGACAAAAACTCTAATCCGAAAAGATACATGTACCCTAATGTTCATAGCAGCACTATTTATAATAGCCAAGATATAAAAGCAACCTAAATGTCCACCGATAGATGAATGGATAAAGAAGCTGTGGTACATATATACAATGGAATATTACTCAGCTATAATAAAGAATGAAATTCTGCCATTTGCAGCAACATGGATGGACCTAGAGGATATTATACTAAGTGAAGTAAGTCAGACAGAGAAAGACAAATACTGTATGATATCACTTATATGTGGAATCTAAAAAAATAATACAAATGAATTTATTTACAAAACAGAAACAGACTCACAGACATAGAAAACAAACTTACGGTTTCCAAAAGGGAAAGGGGGAGGCGGAGGGATAAATTAGGAGCTTGGGATTAACATATACACACTACTATATATAAAATAGATAAGCAACGAGGATTTCCTGTAGAGCACAGGGAACTACATTCAACATCTTGTAATAACCTATAACGGAAAAGAATCTGAAAGAGAATATATGTATATATAAAACTGAATCATTTTGCTGTACACCTGAAACACAATACTGTAAATCAACTGTACTTCAATAAAATAAATAAAATATTTAAAAAGAGCATTTTATAATTAAAACTAATAGAGTAAAATCCTTGTTTCAGGGCAGGGGCACTGACCTCAGACCAAAGGGGAGGCTGCGGTGCACTTTTCTCGTGCACATGTGCGACACGCTGCCGCAAGCCCGATGGCGGGACCCTCATAACAAACCTACGGTGTCTGGCGGGGCGCAGCAGGTTCTCTGCTGGGGGCCATGCACAGCCGACCGTCCAGGCTGCTCCATCTGCAGCTCGGGTCCCCCAGCACCCCTCAGGTGGTTAGCAGAATCCAGTTGCCCGCAGTCTGGGGTCTGAGGCCCCTGCTGGCTTCCTGGTGGTCGGCCAGAGGCCGTGCTCAGCTCCTAGAGGTGCCTGCCGACACCAGTACGTGGCCCGCAACACGGCAGCCTCACCTTCAAGGCCACCAGGAGAGGACCTCCACTGCACTGAAACTCTGAAGGCTTCTGCCACCAGCTGGAGCAAATTCTCCCTTAAAGGGCTCACGTGATTAGTGAAGGCTCGGCCAGGTGATCTCCCTATTTTAAGGTCAACTGATTTGGGGCCTGAATTACACCTGCAGAATCCCTTCCCACAGCACTGAGATTAGCGTTTGATTGAATAACTGGGAAAAGGTGTGTGCACCCCGGGGCCGGTGAACTTTGGGGCTTCGAGTTCTGCCTACCAGGAATGGACAGCCTGGGGACCGAAACAAACATGGTTCCTGGAACCTCGGTTCCGACGATCTGGATCTGCGTTCATAAAGGACGTGAGTTTTCTACTTAGTAGCTGTAGGGCTTTAGGCAAGTATTTTAATCTCTCTGAGCCTTAGTCCTGTCCAGGAAGCTGCTCCAGAACAGGCTTTGTGGCTTCTTGTCAGGAATTCTGCACAGGGGACCAAGATAGGCTAGGTCTGGAATATCTTTCACTGTTTGAATATTTGATTTTCAGGTCCCTTTGACCACAGAAGTCTATGCCTCTATGTGATCATTCTTGTTAGAGTTAATATACTTGCTCATCAGAATAAGGCCTTAATGGATTGGTATTAAATTATCTTCTTGGTAAGGATTTTCATGAGGGGGTGGAGCCTGTGTGCTCAAGGTGGGGGAAGGGCAGCAAGAGGTGGGAAAAAAGGAAAACGGCAGCTGAGCCAGCCTTGCAACCTCCCTGAGGACTGGCTCCAGTTCAGTGGTTCAGATTTGCCAGTGCAGGAAGTTAGGACGGAAACTTCTGTCTTAGGCTCTGGACTCGCAGCAGCAGCCCCGCAGGCCCCACTCGGACGTACGCCTGCGCTTCCTGGTTCCCTTGTCTTGCTTTCACATCACCTCCTTTCAGCCCAGCAGTAAGGCCGGAGAGCAGGTCTGGGCCTGCGTTAACACTGGTCAGCCTCGACAGTTCACCTGTGCCCCATCCTCGGCTTCATTCCTCCGACCTCAGTCCTGGGATCTCAGAGGGACCCAAGCTCGCATGAATTACAAAACTACGCAACCAATGAAATGAGAACACTTCCCAATATCATACACAGAAATAAACTAAAAATGGATTAAAGACCTAAATGTAAGACCAGACACTGCACAAGTCTCAGGGGAAAACACAGGCAGACATTCTATGACGTAAATCACCGCAAGATCCTTTTTGACCCGCCTCCTAGAGGAATGGAAATGAAAACAAAAATAAACAAATGGGACCCAATGGAACTTAAAAGCTTTTGCACAGCAAAGGAAACCATAAACAAGACGAAAAGACAACCCTCAGAATGGGAGAAAACATTTGCAAATGAAGGAACTGACAAAGGATTAACCTCCAAAATATACAAGCAGCTCATGCATCTCAGTAACAAAAAAACAAACAACCCAATCCAAAAATGGGCAGAAGACCTGAACAGACATTTCTCCAAAGAAGATATACAGACTGCCAACAAACACATGAAGGGATGCTCAACATCACTAATCATTAGAGAAATGCAAATCAAAACTACAATGAGATATCATCTCACACCAGTCAGAATGGCCATCATCAAGAAATCTACAAACAATAAATGCTAGAGAGGGTGTGGAGAAAAGGGAACCCTCTCGCACTGTTAGTGGGAGTGTAAAATTGATACAGCTACTACGGAGAACAGTATGGAGGTTCCTTAAAAAACTAAAAATGGAACTACCGTACAACCAAGCAATCCCACTACTGGGCATAGACCCTGAGAAAACCATAATTCAAAAAAGGTCATGTAGCACAATGTTCCTTGCAGCTCTATTTATAATAGTCAGGACATGGAAGCAACCTAAGTGTCCCTTGACAGATGAATGGATAAAGAAGATGTGGCACATATATACAATGGAATATTACTCAGCCATGAAAACAAACGAAATTGAGTTATTTGTAGTGAGGTGGATGGACCTAGAGTCTGTCATACAGAGTGAAGTAAGTCAGAAAGAGAAAAACAAATACCATATGCTAACACATATATATGGAATCTAAAAAAAAAAGGTTCTGAAGAACCTAGGGGCAGGACAGGAACAAAGACACAGATGTAGAGAATGGACTTGAGGACATGGGGAGGGGGAAGGGTAAGCTGGGACGAAGTGAGAGAGTGGCATGGACATATATACACTACCAAATGTAAAACAGATAGCTAGTGGGAAGCAGCCGCATAGCACAGGGAGATCAGCTCGGTGCTTTGTGACCACCT